GGGTGTTTGAATGCTGATTGATGCTCCTCTCACATTTAAAGGTATTTCTGCATAGTTTGAAAAAGAAGTCATTTTTGGGCCAAATTTCATAAAAAAGTAAGGCTAACCCCTTGTGTATTTTTCAATTTTGGCCAAAAAATGAAATTGCTCGAAATTAGCTGGAAAGATGCCTAAAGGACCCTAGAACACATTCCGATTCGATATCCGGACAGATCAGCTTTTAAACAGGATAGTTTGACAAAGTTTGCGGCAAAAACAGTCTAAAATATTTTTTTTTTCACCAAAAATTGATGATTTTGGCCAAAATCTTTAAAATATTGGGTGTTTGAATGCTGATTGATGCTCCTCTCACATTTAAAGGTATTTCTGCATAGTTTGAAAAAGAAGTCATTTTTTGGCCAAATTTCATAAAAAAAGTAAGGCTAACCCGTTGTGTTTTTTTCAATTTTGGTCAAAAAATGAAATCGCTTGAAATTTGCTGGTAAGATGCCTTAAAGACCCTAGAACACATTCCGATTCGATTTCAGGACAGATCAGCTTTTAAAAAGGATATTTTGACAAAAGTTTGCGTTAAAAACAGTCTAAAATAATATTTTGTTTCACCAAAAATTGATGATTTTGGCCAAAATCTTTAAAATATTGGGTGTTTGAATGCTGATTGATGTTTCTCGCACCTTTAACAGTATTTCTGCATAGTTTGAAGAAGTCATTTTTGGCCAAATTTCATATAAAAAGTCCCTTAGCGTGACCAGGTTTGAAGTTTGCTTACGACTGCGGTACCACGTTTCTATATTATTACAAACTAACAATAGGGGGCGCTCAGGAGTTAAGTGTTAACATTGTAAGGAATAGCCTTTAGTACTACCGCCCGAACATCGGGTGCGTAATTGCTCCCTATTGTTGGCTTGTGGCTATAAAAAAAAATACGAAGTAAAGAACACAGCAAATCACAAAACAAACGGCTCTTTTCAGAGCCACCACAACTTCCAAAAAGAGATAATTCAGTCTGTCTTCAAAAAACAAAGTTTAAAACATACCGTGGTTCCCACCCCCGAAAAATAAAAATCTTAAACAAATTAAGAACCCCTCCGGCCCCGCCTAAAAAACAATCCCAATGAAAACAGGTTTCCAAGATCTTCAAACGCCCCACCACATATACATTGAACAAATTTTAATCCAAAATTATTACTTTTGTTTATTTATTATTATTATCTTAAAAGAATCCCTCCCGACAAACAATAATCACTAATTGCTGCGAAATTACACATGGAGACACTTAAACCCGGAAGTAATATTAGCGCCCTCTCTTGCCCGATTCCAGCAAATGCAAAACGAAAGCAAAATGTCACTTGGCACGAATGTGCGCTATAGTTAACCAAAATAATTACAATTTCAAAGAATCCCTTCAGAAACAATAATACCCAACTGTTCCACAAAGTCAACAACCAAAAGGCATCTAAGGATCAGGAGTCATTAAAACCCGGAAGTAATGCAGGTATTGGCGCCCTCTCTTGCCCGATTCCAGCAAATGCAAAATGAAAGCAAAATGTCACTCGGCACGATTTGTGCGAGTGACCTACTTGCCTGATTCTTCTCAGCGATGATGCCTTTTCCTCCGGATTCAGGTCCTCAAATATTGAACAATGTTCCCTCAAAGGTATTTTTTTTATTTCATTTATTCATCACCATCAGTTAAATATTTAATATACATTATTAACAGACGTACATACCAACAAATGACCTTCTTTTCATGTCTTCGGACGTGCGTAACACGATTAAAACACGCACGCACATGTACCGTACCTTGTGCACAACGAATGGGGAAAACTGCGCTCCGGTTTTAGCGAGGTTCCGGCTATAACGACAGTATTGTGAAAGTCCATCGGACCTCGTTATAACGGGAGCCGACTGTAGCGCAGTATTAACAAGACGGATGTTGTCGAGTTATAAGCCTAAAAAGGGTAAGAATAGCTAGGGACTTGTTGATGAAAGTGGGAGTTGAAATTGAAATAGGTAATGAATATTTACAGTGTCACCAAGCATGCGCAGTTGCAGAATGAAAGCTAGTGTTGATTGTAAAAAAATGGCGAATAGTGATTTGGGAACATGAAAAAAAGGGGTATATATATAAAAACTTTACATGGGGTGGGTGGGGCGAAAGAGGAGGGGGATGACGCGATGGAGTTAAGTAACACGACCGTAGGGTTAGGGTTAGGGTTAGGGTTAGGGTTAGGGTTAGGGTTAGGGTTAGGGTAGGGTTAGGGTTAGGGTTAGGGGTTAGGGTTAGGGTTAGGGTTAGGGTTAGGGTTAGGGTTAGGGTTAGGGTTAGGGTTAGGGTTAGGGTTAGGGGTTAGGGTTAGGGTTAGGGTTAGGGTTAGGGTTAGGGTTAGGGTTAGGGTTAGGGTTAGGGTTAGGGTTAGGGTTAGGGTTAGGGTTAGGGTTAGGGTTAGGGTTAGAGTTAGGGATCTTCTGTAGGCCGACCTCGGAGTATAAGGTCGGTGACCCCTGAGGTCAAAGGTCATGACCCCCTGCAACTGTTGGTGGGGTCACAAGGTTATGCTCCCTAGGGGTCAAAGGTCACGGGGTCAAAGGTTACTGCACAAAGTATAGGAAAAAAACTTGAGAGGTCATAACCTTTGACCCCTGGGGAGCATAACACTGTGACTAGGTCAAAATCTTTCGGGGGAGGTCATGACCTCTGACCCAAAGGTCAAGGTCATAGGTCATTGGGGTCAGGAGTTATGGCCAAAAGTTGTCTATTTCCGACACCCCAAAATAAAGAAAAACATAAGAAATTCTAAAATGGTGTGAAACGTGTAAAAAACATATAAGTCAATATGGGTCAAATATAAGGGAATGGGTTAGTACTTCGTCGTTTTTTCAAGTGTGTGTATGCGTTAACGCATAGGGCAAGGGCTTGTGCACAAACCCTATGGCAATTCGACTTTGTACACATATCAATGGAAGTACTGGATGCACGCCAGTATTTGGGATGTATTAGAGCATTAGGGACGAGTTGGCACCCTGGTCCCGAGTTATTCGTTTTGGGCGGTCTGCAGGACCGTACCTAGGCACGGATACCCAGTTTTTGACCCTATTTGACCCTATGATAGTGTTATTGGACCGTTAAAAGACTACCCTAACCCTTTTACCCTGATTCGACCGTATTTACCCTATTCGAGACGGTTTAACAATATTTCGGGCGATTTTACCCTACATCACAGTGTATAACCCTACCCCTATAGCTAATCCCTCTATTTCCGACACCCTAGCCCTACCCCTATGTAATATCCGTCTATTTGCGACAGCTAGCCCCATCCCTATGCAAATCCCTCTATTTCCGACACCCTAGCCCTACCTCTATGTAATATCCGTCTATTTCCGACACCGAAAATAAAGAAAAACATAAGAAATTCAAAAATATCAGGAAAAACATCAGATATTCAAAAATATCAGGAAAAACATAAAAAATTCATAAAACAAAGAAAAACTAACCCAAACCCTAATAACAAAGAAAAACATAAGAACCCTAAGAACAAAGAAAAACATTAGAAATAGGGTTATGTAGGGTTAGGGTTAGGGTTAGGGGTTAGGGTTAGGGTTAGGGTTAGGGTTAGGGTTAGGGTTAGGGTTAGGGTTAGGGTTAGGGTTAGGGTTAGGGTTAGGGGTTAGGGTTAGGGTTAGGGTTAGGGTTAGGGTTAGGGTTAGGGTTAGGGTTAGGGTTAGGGTTAGGGTTAGGGTTAGGGTTAGGGTTAGGGTTAGGGTTAGGGTTAGGGTTAGGGTTAGGGTTAGGGTTAGGGTTAGGGTTAGGGTTAGGGTTAGGGTTAGGGTTAGGGTTAGGGTTAGGGTTAGGGTTAGGGTTAGGGTTAGGGTTAGGGTTAGGGTTAGGGTTAGGGTTAGGGTTAGGGTTAGGGTTAGGGTTAGGGTTAGGGTTAGGGTTAGGGTTAGGGTTAGGGTTAGGGTTAGGGTTAGGGTTAGGGTTAGGGTTAGGGTTAGGGTTAGGGTTAGGGTTAGGGTTAGGGTTAGGGTTAGGGTTAGGGTTAGGGTTAGGGTTAGGGTTAGGGTTAGGGTTAGGGTTAGGGTTAGGGTTAGGGTTAGGGTTAGGGTTAGGGTTAGGGTTAGGGTTAGGGTTAGGGTTAGGGTTAGGGTTAGGGTTAGGGTTAGGGTTAGGGTTAGGGTTAGGGTTAGGGTTAGGGTTAGGGTTAGGGTTAGGGTTAGGGTTAGGGTTAGGGTTAGGGTTAGGGTTAGGGTTAGGGTTAGGGTTAGGGTTAGGGTTAGGGTTAGGGTTAGGGTTAGGGTTAGGGTTAGGGTTAGGGTTAGGGTTAGGGTTAGGGTTAGGGGTTAGGGGTTAGGGTTAGGGTTAGGGTTAGGGTTAGGGTTAGGTTAGGGGTTAGGGGTTAGGGTTAGGGTTAGGGGTTAGGGGTAGGGGTAGGGTTAGGGTTAGGTTAGGGTTAGGGTTAGGGTAGGTTTAGGGTTAGGGTTAGGGTTAGGGTTAGGGTT